AGATGTGATATATTATTTGTATAAGAATTATTTAAAATTTTAGATAAATGATTAAATGATATATTTAATATTAATGAACTGGTGTTGAAAAAGGTTATGTGTGTTAAACAAGTTAAACAAATCATATTATGTGTGTTAACTCGAAAATGACATGTCTATTAAATGTGTCAAATAGGTCGGGTTTGGATAACCCATTTAATAGCCAGGTCAGATTATTATTTTCACATCTTGACACAATTATTAAACATGTCGGATTTGAGTTATAAAATTTTTGATATAAACTCGAAATTAAACTGGCACAAATGACTTATTTCGACGCGTTTAACACCCTAATCGAGGCCAACTAAAAAGCAGATCCAGCTGAGAAGAGTCCTGCTGAAGTGGAAATCTAGCTACAGTAATGCTGAGCTGTGATCTAGCAGGAGTCTCAAATCTGTCAGCTGAGCTGGGAATAGACGTATGTCAGAAGGCCTCTAATCTGATGAAGTCACCTGGAGCAAAACCCATCCAATTCTTGGATTTAGTTACAGAAAAATCTGCAGTAGCAAAAATCTCTGCGTGAATAGTGCCGCTGAAGGAGAATTCCTGCAATGATCAGCAAAATGAAAAATTTTGAAATTAAAAGCCGCTGCCAAAAAAGACAAGAACACTCCAAACATGCAGCTGCCTAAGTGTCCAGCTAAGGAAGTCCATATGATGGAGTAGTGCAGCTTGAAACTGCACAAAATAATTTTGTACGTCATTTGTTAAGTGATTGAAAATAAATGTAATAATTTAAAGTAAAGAGAGTTGGAGAAAATGAGATTTATAGTGGTTCGGTCAATGTGACCTACGTCCACTTTTAAATGATCTTGATCGTCTGGTACTTTATTAGCTCATGGATTCAGGGAGCAGAGAGTACAAATTTAGAGAGAGAGAGAGATGAGAGAATCGTGCTCAATAAAGTGAGATTTGCCCCTCAAATATTGGTGGGGCTTACAATTTATAGTCGCCATCCTAACAGATTTTAACAAGATATTAATAAGTAGTTGACTAGTTTGTTGAATTTGACGAGCTTTTCTCAACGTGCTAGGCAGTTGCGGTGCTTTCTATTAGATTCGATCAAAGGATGAGGTGGGGTGTTGACCATCTCTAGGATAGCGAGGATAAGACTTTGGATGACCTTGCTTGCTCCCTTAGCTCTTTGAGCTGCTGATTGACCGAGCTGACCACATTGATGAGCTTGATTGGGTGGAGCTGATGAGTTTGACTAGGTTGGCCACACTGGGTTGGATTCGTTGGATCTCTTAGAGTTGGACTATAAACTTGAACTGGAAATATAACATGAGTTGAGCCTTTTGGCTTGACCCATCATTTGCCCCCCAATGCCCTGTGTCCAACGGAACTTTGAAAGGAGGGCATTTGATTAAGTTTTAATTTTTGGCTGACCGACACAATCAGAAAAACTTCGGGAAGTCAAAACATCTGCTTCCAAGTCATTTTTGGACTTTTTACAGAATCAGTTATAGCCAAAGGTTTTGAGTCTTGTAGGGCTCGCTGAGAGCTTCGATTTAATAAATTATAAGCCTAATTTGAAGTAACGGAGCAGAAGTTTCGGTCAAAACTTCGAACAGAGAGCTAGGCGAGCACATAACTTCGGGGCGAGCTGGGCATTGTTCTAGGCGAGCAGAATTTTTAAAAAAAATAAAATAAAATAAAACTTCGGGAGGCCAAAACATCTGTTTCTGAGCGTTTTTTGGACTTTTTACATCGTCAATCACAACCTTTTGGCTATGTGTTTTGTAGGGATCTCTGAGAGCTTCGATTTGATATATAATAAGCCCTTGTTTGGAGTTACAAAGTAAAATTTACGGTCAAAACTTCGAGCAGATATCTAGGCGCGCGTTTTGGGCGAGTAGACAGTAGTCTGGGCGCCAATCTGGGTTGCTTGGGCACTGATAATGCTGTCTTGGACAGCTTAAGCTCGCTAGACAACAAATTTTCTTTAGTTGAAGGTGCAAGAAATCATGCCAGGGAGTAGCATGGAGAGCTGAATAGTAGCCTGGGCACCGAAGCCGCTGCAGGCGCTGATCTGTGCAACTTTAGAGGGCCAGGCAGCGCTGGGCTGCCCCGTTTGGGTGATCATAGAGTGTCAGACACCTCTCCAAGTGTTGGATTGTCTTGTTTGGGGGAGCAGAGACCGTCAGACACCTCTCCAGGTGCTAGACTGCCTCGTTTGGGCGAGCAGAGAACGTCAGACACCTCTCTAGGTGCTGGCCTGCCTCATTCGAACGAGCAGAGAGCGTCCGACACCTCTCCAAGTGTTGGACTGCCTCGTTTGGACGTGCAGAGAGCATCAGGTACGCTCCAAGTATTGGGCTGTCTTGTTTGAGAGATCACATAGGACTAGCCACCTCCAGGTGTTGGGCTGCCTCGTTTGGACGCCTTGGGTGAGCTTAGGGTTGCCTCAGCCGCTTTGGGGGGATGCCTTGGGCACTTTAGGCGAGCCTGGGGCTACCTTGGAAAAGCCTGCTTGTGATGACAAAAATAATTTTATTCCAAACATTAAAATATTTCACATAATTACCTGTAGAGAAAGGTAGGTTGCTTGCGCGAGAGTAAAAACAGAGTTGGAGAACTGCTCGTGAGAGAGCTACACCTTTTGAGACCTAGCTTTTGGCGATCCACGAGAGAGTCTTTAAACTTGAGATATAGACTGCCTGTTTGAGAACAGTGTAGAGCCAAACTTTTAAGCCACCCGCGAGAGAGTTGCTAAATTGGAGATAGACTGCTTGTTTGAGAACAGTGCAGAGACCAAGCTTTTTTGGCGACCCATGAGAGAGCCGCTAAGTTGGAGATAAACTGCTTGTTTGAAAACAGTGCAGAGGCAGGTCAAGCTTCTGGTGATCTGCGAGATAATTCACCTCGCCTAGACCTGTTGATTTTCTCAGCATTCATGTATGTTTGAACATTTGTCAATAGTTCTGGCATGTTCTTTGGTGGTCGCTTCATTACTGATAAAAGGAATCTGGATGAGCGGAGGCCTCCTAGAAAGGTAGTCATGGTGACTTTGTCATTAGGCTCCTCGATTTGGAGGACCTCCTCGTTAAAACGAGTGAGGTAACTCCTCAGACTCTTGTCTCGATCCTGTTTTATGTTGAGCAGATGGGTGACAGGCTTTTATTGGCGGCGTCCACCAATGAACTGTGCCACAAATGATCTACTCAGTTCGGCGAAAGAGCCTATGGAGGCTGGGGTGAGTTTGATGAACCGTTGTTGCACTGATCCCTTCAAAGTAGTTGAGAATGTCCTACACATAATTTCGTCGGGGACGTTATGCAATTGCATTAGGGTCTTGTAGGTTTCGAGGTGATCAAGTGGATCATTTGTTCCGTCAAAGGTCTCCACGAATGACATTTTAAACTTTTGAGGGAGGGGGTAGTTCGCTACGTCAGGTTTGAAAGACGTGTCAGTTCACCTAACGAGGTAGTCCACTATCTTAGGCCCTTGAGCCTTCATGGCATTGAAGACGTCACCTAGTTGATTTTGCACCTCTTTTATTTTTTCGTCCCAGTGATTGGGGGCTCCTCTGAAATAATCATGAAAATAACTCCCATGGTTCATGGTTGAGTTTTTACCCTCTTCCTTTTGGAGATAAGGGTCTTCACCATGAGAAGTAGGAGGAGGAGGAGGTGGATCATGATGGGCTCCCCTATGTGGGGCACCCAAAGGGACTCCAAATGGGGCATCCAGACCTGCATGGACGCCTAGATGGGGAGCAGTAAGATGTGGAGCTCCTTGATGTCTAGGGCGTGTAGCTCTTTGATGTCCAGGGCGTGGAGCTCCTTGATGTCCAAGGCGTGGAGCTCCTTGATGTCCAGGGCGTGGAGCTTCTTGAGGTCCTCCAAGCTATGCTTCTCCTTGTCCGGCAAGCATGAGTTGTAGGATCTGTTAGTTTTGGGCCAACAGCTGTTATATGGTCTCCAACATTTGCTGAGGATTTGGAACTGGAGCATTTGAGACAGGGTTGGTAGGTGGAGGAGCAACCTCCTCCTCTCGTTGTGGATTATCCTCAGGTTGATTCATGTATCTAGTGGTGATCGACATAGGTTCAATAGAGGGGGTGTTTAAAGTGAGAATTTAGTCGTTCCTACAGATGACTTCAAATTGATGATGCACAAAATGACTTTGCACACCACCTGTCAAGTGATTGCAAATAAATACAGTAATTTAAAGTAAAGAGAGTTGGAAGAGACGAGATTTATAGTGGTTCGGTCAACGTGACCTACGTCCACTTTTGAATGACTTTGGTCGCCTGATACTTTATTAGCTCATGGGTTCAGGGAGCAGAGAGTACAAACTTAGAAAGAGAGAGAAGAGAGAGTCGTGCTCAACAAAGTGAGATCTGTCCCTCAAGTGTTGGTGAGTCTTACAATTTATAGTCGTCATCCTAACAGATTTGGACAAGATATTAGTAAGTAGTTGACTAGTTTGTTGAATCTGACGAGCTCTTCTCAACGTGCTTGGTAGTTGTGGTGTTTTTCATGAGATTCGGTCAAAGGATGAGGTGGGGTGTTGACCATCTCTAGGACAACGAGGATAAGACTTTGGATGACCTTGCTTGCTCCCTTAGCTCTTTGAGCTGCTGAGCTTGATCGGGCTGACCACATTAATGAGTTTGACCGGGTTGGTCACATTGGGCTAGATTCATTGGATCTCTTAAAGTCGGACTATAAACTTGAATTGAGTTTATAACATAAGTTGGACTTTTAGGCTTGTCCATCACAGCTAAAAGAGTCCAAGCTGTGAAGGTTGTAGGCACGGCTTATTTCTGAAAAACCAGCATACATGAACAGTGACTTAGACAGTGAGAATGAGATGAAAGAAGAGATCCAGCTGAAAAAAGATAGACCAATTGAAGGAGAAATCCAGCTGATGAGGTAGTCCAGCTGGAAGAGACCAGTTGATCAAGAGATATCAGCTGAGATGAGAAGTGCGAATCAAATATTAGGAAGCTGCTCTTAGAAGGATTCGCGCAAGTTCCCATGAGGAGTTTTAAAAATGGAGATCTTCTTGCGTGGACTTTTGAGCTGGCGTAAGTCCTGCAGCAATAGAAGTCTTGTGGGTAGAGGCTGTGAATCCGACGAGACATATGTATGACCAACTTGATCCATAACCCCTTTGTTTGCTAAAGAATCCGCTACAGCCTTTCCTTCTCTATAAATGTGTTGCATTCGGATTTCAAAATGGCTGAGCAAATAGAAAATTCGAGTAGCAAGAGTCCAGAATTTCCAAGACTGTATATGCTTCTGCTTAATCATGTCCACTAAAATCTGGGAGTCTGTCTCAATAAGAATATGGTAGACTTCTAACCCAAAACGCAGTAGCAATTCCAGACCATCTAGAAGCGCTCGAATTTCAGCCTCCATATTAGTACATGTTTCATAATAGAAGGATCCTGCTAACACCAGCTGCCCCCAATGATTTCTCAAAATAACACCTCCCCTAGATATGCCTGGATTACCCTTAGAAGCACCATCAATGTTAAGCTTAAGCAACCCTGGAGAAGGCAATTCCCATCTAATCCACTTAACTTGCACAGAGAGCGCAGCTGAGGAAACCACATTGAGCGATTGAAGCAGGGATCTCCCCTGAGCTGAGTCCATTACCTTAGGCTTTGCATTGAAAACCTGCATTTTCCAATGATGCATTATTAACGTAAAAACAGAATTAGGGGGTAAATGTTGAGCTTCGAATAATCTTCTGCAATGTTCCTTCCAAAGCTGCCACTAGACAAGCAAAGAAATTCCCCGCATTAAGGAGTAGTGGAGAGATGGCTGCTTAAAAACCCGAATAAGCCTCATGAGCGTTGTGGTTGGTTCTTCATTAGCAATTAGCTGAAATCCCAAAGTCTGAGAAAGCTTAACCCATATAGCATGAGCATACTTACAACTAATAAAAACATGTGATGTAGACTCAGCTGCCTCATAGCGCACACGCATCTACTCACCAGTAAGACTCCCATGGCCTAAAATGTAGAATCAGTTGGCAAAGCATTCTACAAAATCTTCCAACCCACCAGCTGAGAACTAGGGGGCGAACATTGACTCCAAATAGCCTTAGCATGAAGATTAGGCATACATCGACTGCGAGCGAGATTCCATGCAGATTTAACAGTAAAGTGCCCATTTGAAGTGTGCTTCCAAACTAGCATATCCTCCTTAGTTGTAAGAATAATATCTGTAGAAATAACCTCTTGAAGGAGGTGAGGGTCAAGCAGCTGCTGAATATCCCCTAATTGCCAAACATCATTTATAAACAGTTCAGCAAGATTTGGGAAATCCATAGGAGGAGAAGAATTTTGAAGAATAAATGGGACTCAGTCCAATTGTCGCACCAGAAATTTACACCTCTCCCGGTACCCACTAACTTATGTGTGTTCTTCCCAACCAACTCAAACCAAGGGGCCAGAATAGCGAAGCATTTAGAACTCCTCTTCGTTGCAGATCTGAGAAGATGCCGGTTTCTCATATATTTAGCAGCAAATATAGAGGACCATAAAGAATCACCTTTTAGCAAATTCCAAACTTGTTTCATTCTAAAAGCAATTTGAACCTCCTCAAACTTTCGGATACCCAACCCTCCTTCCTCCTTAGGCAAAGTAACATTACTCCAAGAACACCAATGCCTTTTCTTAACACCCGATTTACCAGACCATAGGAAAATAGCCATAATAGAATTTAATCTAGCTGTAACACCTTTTGGCAAGTTCAAAGAAGCTAGCAGGTGAACAGGAAGAGAATTTAAGACCGATTTGATGAGAACTATTCTTCCATGTTGGAAAGTAGCTTGGCATACCATCCTTCTATTCTAGTTTGAAATTTATTCAGCAGTTCCTCAAAGTACTGTAACTTTACTCTACCTTTAACAATTGGACACCCCAAGTATGTAAAGGGGAAAGACCTCATAGGAATACCAGCCACATGAGACATCATGTTCCTTCTTGGGATGAATATTCTAGTAGAGCAATACAAAGCGCTTTTTAGCTTGTTGACCTTCTGACCTGAGGATGCTTCATATTCTCCCACAAACTTTAAAAGATGCTGCATAGACTTCTTGTTTCCTCTAAGGAAATCAGAGAATTATCCGCAAAAAGGAGGTTGCTTAAAAGCCTAGAACCCCTTCCAGTATGGAATCCCTTGATCTGCCCCTGCTGGAATCTATGTTTGATACCTCGACTTAACACCTCTTCTACAATAATAAAAAGACTTGGAGATAAGGGATCTCCTTGTCGAAGTCCTCTGGTGGTTGGAAAGAAGCCATGCCTCACCCCATTAACGACTATAGAGATATGTTTATTTCTTAGACAGTTAGCAATTAAATGCACAAAACTGTCAGAGAAGCCAAAACTGGACAAGGTATGCTTTAGAAAATCCCATTCCATCCTGTCAAAAGCTTTCATCATGTCTAACTTCAAATGACATTTCCAGCTTCAACCTTACGATCCAGCTCACTAACCATGAATTGCGCAAGGGATATGCTATCCCCAATGCTTCGTCCTTTAACAAAACCGTGTTGCTCTTCAGAAATCAGCTTAGGGAGTAAAGTGCTTAGCCTTGAAGCAATTTTCTTTGTGAATATCTTATACAGAAAACTGCAAAGGCTTATTGGCCTAAACTCTGAAAAATTAGAAGGCTTATCCTTCCTGGGGATGAGGGAGAGTATTGTTGCATTCACCGCTCTGGGAATTTTGCCACCTTGAATAAAGTGATTAGCTGCAGCTTGTAAGTCATGTTTAATGATATTCCAAGCTGTGTGAAAGAACTTGCCTAAGAATCCGTCTGGGCCTGGGCCACAGTGAGCTGACATCGAGAAAACAACATTCTTTAATTCCTCCAAAGAAACAGGCGCACTAAGCATAACATTATCTGCATCAATTATTAGGGAAGGAATGACTGAGAAAAGATCCTCATCTATTGAGTGAGACTGTGACTTGTAGAGAGCCGAAAAAAAATCCACAGCACAGCTAGCAATAGAATCTTCTGTCTCCAACCAGCTGCCGCCTTCACTCTTTATTCTAGATATTTTATTTCTCACCAACCTACTCTTAGCAATAGCATGAAACAATTTAGTGTTCCTCTCTCCCTCGACTGCCCACTTGATGTTTGCTTTTTGCGTCCAAAAAAGCTCCTCCATTCGTAGAGCATTTTCCAGTTCTTGTTTAACAGTCTCCAATGGTTGATAAGATGTAGCTGAAGCATGCCTATCAATCTCCAATTCAGCTTGAACTAATTGCATTTCCAATCTCTTGACTGTCTCGAATACATTACCAAAAACATCCTTATTCCACCTTTTCAAATGAAACTTCATATACTTTAATTTCAGAGAAAAGTTTTCAATAGGATTTGAGGAGTAATTACCCAACCAGCTGCCCTCCACCAATTGTAGAAACTGTGGATGTTCTGTCCACATGTCCATGAATTTAAAGTATGAAATTCTTCTTGGGGCTGCCATCTCAGAAACCTTAATAATCAGCTGGCTGTGATCAGACTTACCTTTCCCAGCATGTTCAACTATTGTGCTCTCTAATTGACTCCCCCACTACACATTAACAAGTGCCCTATCAATCCTCTGAGACATTCTAGTTCTCCCTTGATGATTGTTACACCATGTGAAGGCTGAACCAACAAGACCACAATCCTGCATACCCACCGAATTTATAAAGGAAATGAATTCATTCATGATTGAGAGACTAGGCACTGAGCCTCCCTCTCAGACGAAGAGACTATTGCATTAAAATCTCCTACGATCATCCATGGTGTTGAGAAACTCTGCAGGTTTGCTAAATCTAACCATAGTAGTCATCTCAATAGGTAATCACACTTGGCATAAACAACGAAACATAAAATGATGGTGATCCCAGAAAAGACACTTCTACTGATAGGGCTTGCTAATGGATAGCAACAACAGTCACTTTAACTCTATGATCCCACAATAACCAAATATGTTTCTCCGCTAATGGGTTGGCTATAGATGAGGAGAAACCTAAGCTGCTACATAAAGTAATCAGCTTAGAAGCTTTCAGCTTGGGTTCCAACAATGAAATCAGGCAAACGCCATTGATTTTAATTAGTTTCTTGAGTCTCAATCTAGAGACTTCTTCATTTGCACCCCTCACTTTCCACGAAATTAAATTAATCATTGACTAGTATGGAAAGAGAAGAGGAGACTAGATTTTGATCTAGTTATGCTACCAGTCTGGGAGCTCTCTCAATCAGTTGAATTGCTTCTGTACACGTTCCAGCTTCAGAGACTGGAGATGCTACCTCTATAAATTCCACACATGGTGAATTCTCCACATCAGAATGGTAACCTTTGTCTGGAGGTTCATTATCACATCTCAAACCACGCTCATCATCAAACGTCACATTACTGGCTTTCTTGCAAACATAATTATGATCTATTAAGAAGGTAGATAAAGATTCAGACATATATAATAGAGCACTGCTTATTTAATTGGCACCGCCCCTCTTCGGAATCTGCCCTCATACTTTCCTCTCCACTTCTTTCATTAGTCACAACCAGCAAAGATTCAAAACCACCAGCTTTCTCATTTCTCATATATGTATCACCATCAACATTTCCATCAGAAATTTCTGCAACAGGAGAGCATTGATCCATATCACGTCGTGGAAGCTGACTGGTTTGCGCTTTTGAAACCTGGGCCTCATCCCACTGCTAGCCTACGGGATTATTATCTTCTACAATCCTATTATCTTTAACTTTAGAGGCATGATTGAGATTTACAAAGGGCTGATCATATCCTGTACACAGATATTCATATCCTTCTTCCTGCATGACCGAAACTGTCTGGGTTCGTTTGTTTAGGGGGGAAAGGTAGAAAATGCAAGAAATAGAAATTTTTTAGAATTTTTATGTGTTCGATTAATATGAAAAAGAAAATGATAAAAAAATAATTTTTTTTCATGCTTGAATTTTCTCACAAATAATCAATTTTCTTTCCTTGAAGAAAACACAAAAAAATATAAAAAAGTTGTGATCTATAACTAACTTTCTATTTTACCCTTATTTTTCTTAAAATATTTTACTAGTTATTAATTTTAAAAAAATTTGGTATGAATTTGATCAATCATATAATTTAGTTCAAACACCTTCGTGTTTGTGATTGTCTTAGAATTAGGTTTCGAGCCACCTGTTTTTTTTAAAAAAATTTAACGTTCAATTATAATTACATATTTTTTTCTTTTTTAGATCAATTTAATAAAATAATTTTTGTTTAAATTTTTCTGTAAATTTTTTATTTTAATCAAATACATATATGAAAATATATTTTTTATTATTTTTTTTTCTTTCACTTGAGTTTCTATCATTTTCGCTTTCTATCTTTTTTTTTTTTTCAACTCTCAGAAACCAACGGATTCTCATAATCTTGGAATTGTACTGCACTTTCGTTACTTGGAATATCCTTTCCAATATCGTTTGCAATATCCTTGCCTGAATGCTCGCCTCTTCCTAAAGTGATGGGGTTTGCTTTTGAAACATTCCCTACAATCTTTGCGGCAACATCTTCTTCTAAAGATTTGTCAGACTTTCCTTCCACGACATTTCCTTTACCAACTACTTCCTTCTGTGACTGGTGTGCGTGACTTTGGCTGATCCGGATATTTCCTAAAGTGGTGGCCAACTCCTTGAATTTGAATGCCTTCCTTTTCTGAATTTTGAATATTTTTTATGTGCGTGTAGGATTTTGTACAACATAAACACGAAAACAGATCTCTCCCGTGGTGAACACAAGTCAGTCAATCGAATGGTCAACCTTACTGGGTGGAACAGACTGTGAGGACTGGTGGTAGCCTGGAACAGTAATGGGTGACTTTTGTGGGTCACCGGGGTGGTCCTGTAAGGCAAGGGAAGATTCCTGGAACAGAGAAAAACGAGTTAGGAGGGCGCCAGAGTGTTTTTCGGTGTATCCCCTCCGACGATCAAGTCAGTTCTTTGAGAGAGGGGAAGAAGAAAACGTTTGAGAAAAGGTTTTTTGCGTACCTTATCATGCGTTTTGTGAAGAGTATTTATACCTTAAAAATTCATGATTGCTGTCAGTATGGTCAGTAGGTGATCATTAGAGGCGGGTAACGTGCACACTGATTTTTAGGAGAAATGACCTCTTCCTTAACTGCTAGGGACCCTCAGCAACCAATGCATCACCCTCGGTCTGTTGAACATTTAATGACCTTCACTCGGCTGGGATATATTAAATGCTCTGTCACAGGATCATTCCTTGTCTTTCACTTCCGGGTCTTCACGCATTAAATGTTGTCTCATCAAGGGAAATGTGCATTACATACTTGCTTTCTCAAGTCATGTGTCAGCAAGGGCATTCTGGTCTTTTTGCCTCTGATCTGACATAGTACGCCTCGTGCCAGCTCCCATTTGGTTAAGTCTTCTGCTTTCTTGTGCGTCATGACACCATCTAGGTAAGACCAGGTCATGATGGCTAATCTAGTCTAGCCTAGACTGATGACCTGTCTATCAATAGCCCTGTAGGAACAGGAACGCCGACGTAGTGGGTACACATCGGTGTCGAGGGCCTAGTCGAGGAATACGTGTCACCCGTGCATACCATCTCGGGGGAAGAGGGATCATGATCCGATGAGCACGTGTCGTGATCACGACAGAGAGTATTTCTTGACACCGAATACACGTGTCGCTATCTTGGAGTGTCCGAAAAATGTCCAATCAACTGCCCCCAGCCTTCAATCTTCTGACGCCGAGGACACGCATCGTAAGGAGACGAAGGATTTTGCAACTACCCCAACCACTTCATCATTGCCTCTAGTTGCTTTCCTCCGCTTAGGAGGTCATGCGCACTAAATGTGCCTTTTTGTGCTTCGTGCCCAATGATGGAGATGGGTACTATATAAATGAGTTCTCTCTCTCTCCTTTTCACACTTCACCATTTCAAACTCTTTAGAGAGCCCTCGCCTGAAATCTCGCCAGAGACCCACTTTCTTACGTTGTCTACAAACCAATCTTCACAGGAGTCTTAAGGCCAGCAGACCCATCCTTGCTTCTGAACCTCCTGGAGGAAGGAACCACTCCAAGTTTTGAAGAAAACCTTCGTTCAAGTTCTGGTGAGTCCTTGTATTTTCCTTCTCTCCACCCTTCTGTCTCTTCTTTCTATTTTTTTTTTGTTTTTTGATTCTATGATAACCGGAGGTGTTTCTAGTTTGTCGTTCTGTGACCCACCTTCAGGAAACCCCTAGGGGATCTTCGTAAAAAAAATTGTCATTCCTTTTTAGTTTTTATCTTCTTTGGAGATGCCCTGAAGTCGGCCTGTCACCGAGGATTCCCAGGTCAGTTTCTCGAGGCCTAGGAAGTACAAAGTGAATGGAGAGGAGTAGATTAATAGGTTTAGGGCTCGATACTGCATTTCCCCAAACGTAGGTATAGATAAGTACGACCTAGTTTTGCACAACCACATTGTCGGGGCCAATGATGAGATGCCATTTTTCACCAAGGCAATCATAGAGGGTGGAGTTAGGTTCCCTCTACCTCCTCTACTCCTCCAGTTCCTCGTCCATTTCAGACTCTTCCTGGGGTAGTGTTGTCTTAACGTATTTAGGATAATAATGGGGGTCTTAGAGTTTAACAACCGTCTCGGGGTAAACGTTAGGCTCAATGATATCATTTTTTGCTACTCCCTGTTGAGGGTCATGCCTCAGCATAATTTCTACCTTAAAGCCAAGGATTCCTCCATATACCTTGTAACTTACCTCCCTGACTCGGACAAAGGATACAAGGATGACCTTCTAATCTTCAGTGGATCTTGGCAGCGGGGGACCGGTCCCGAGTACAATGGCCTGATGTGCCCCTTTGAATGGAGAACGACAAGTACGTCGGCCTCCCCGAGTCTACTATTTTTGTCCTTGAAATTTCTTTTTTTTTAGAAGTGTTAATAACATTCTCTCTTGTGCAGACGTCCCCGCCCGGGAAGTTGCCCCTCCCCCTTGGTCCTTGGTGAACTTTGCTGACCTTGTCACTATTTGGAGATTTGTTGGTGACGACGGGTTCGACCGGGCTGCTCACATCCTCCTCAACTACATTCTTGGGTATAAAAAGTTCTCACAGCTCCCCTAGCCTTTCGAGCCATCGCGGTGGTCTTGAACTCTTCGATCAGGCTGCGCAACAAGAGGCCGAGGAGAACTTGGAGGAAGACCCCGACAGGGCTACCGAGGCGGAAGTAGAGGGTGTCCGTGATGTAGAAGAGTTTGGGGCCAGAGAGGCTTTGGTTCCTTCGCACGCCGAGGTGGGGACTTTAGGGAGAGATTCGTGGCCCGATTTCTACATCCTTCAGTCGCTAGACGCAGAGGACGCCCTCGAGGTAGCCATGTCGCACATGCCTCGCATCGACCTGGGATTTCTGAGGCAGAGACAAGCCCTTGCTGCCGGGAGAGGACGAGGTCAGCCAGTAGCGCCCCATCAATAGGTACCAGCGCCAACCCCCCACCTTCGAGGTCCACTAGTCGGGGTCAAGTGCAGGATCGAGATCCTCAAGTCGAAAAGAAGAGGAGGATCAAGCAAAGGCACGATGGCCCGGGCAGAGGATCCAGGGCCTCCTCTGCTCAACAGCCAAGCGGGAGAGGTCGTGGGTTACCCCCTCCATCCCAATAGCAACAGCCGTAGTAGAGGCATCAACAATAGCAGCAGCGGCAACAACAGCAACAGCAGCAGAGGCAGACTCTAACTCCCCCTCCGCAGACGGTAGAAGCCGCAGAATGGAATCTTCGGGCCACTAACCATATGAACCGGGTGATTAGGGTCGATGATTCCATTCTGCAGGACCCCCATGTCACCAACGCAGTGAGCGAGACGCTCTATTCCGAGGCCGACATGGAGGCTCATAGTGGGCGGACAACGAACACGTTGTTCCGCTCCATCATTCAGAATTCCCTAGTGGTAAGTTCATCTTTGCTTCAGTCTTTTCTTGTCGCGTCACTTTTAATTGACAAGTCCTTTCCTTCGCAGGCCACCCAACATATTTCCATAATCGCTGCGCGATATCATGCAGCTAGGATGGACCTCCAGCAGACCCAAGAACAAAAGGAAGAGGCCGAGGGAGACCTAACTAGTGCTAAGGAAGATGTAGCTGCTAGGGACTCCACCCTCGTGGGACAGGCTGCTCAGATTGAGCAACTCCTCAAGGATGGCGAATCGGCGAAGGTCAGCGCTGAAAAGCTAAGTGCTGTCTTGGCCGACGCTGAGGGGAGGATCACGCAGCAGACGCAGCAGCTCTCTGCGGCAGAAGAGAGGATAGTAGGGTCAGAGGAGAACTGTCTGGCTTTGACACAAGAGCTAGACAGGATCAAGGCTGAGGCGGAGAACAAGAAGTCCGAGGAACAAATCCAAAAGGAGTTTGCCGACGACGTGCTGCCTGCCCTCGAGGAGAACAACAAGGAGTTCTTCAAGAAGGGGTGGGACAAGGCGCTCCGGGCTGCCGATGTCCTTCCAGACTCCCCATTCTTCATGATGCACAGTTACGTGCCATCGGCAGACATGGCGTAGGCCGAGGCCGAGATTGCTGCCGAGGGTGCGACTACAACGCCGATGCAAGTTTTGGCAGACCCGCCCGAGGCGGTGATTCTGGTTCCATCCGATGAGGT